AGCCCCTTTGTTGAAAACCGGGGTTGGCAACCCCCTGGCATGCGGCCCCCCGGGGAAACCCCCCTGGCGGGCCGGGCCAGTTTGTTTACCTGCCGTGTCCGCAGGTTTGGCCGATCGCAGCTCCCACTGGCCGTGGTTCACTGCTCTAGGCCAATGGGGGCTGCAGGAAGTGGTGCGGGCCGAAGGATGTGCTGGCCACGGCTTCCCGCCGCCCCCATTGGCCAGGAGCGGCGAACCGCAGCCAGTGGGAGCCGCAATCGGCCGAACTTGCGGTCACGGCAGGTAAACAAACCGGCCCGGCCCGCCAGGGTGCTTACCCTGGCGAGCCGCATGCCAGTGGTTGCCAACCCCTGTTTTAAACCATAGTGTCTATCCTATTACCAGGAACGTATAAAGTCCATGGTAGCTCATCTGAAGTTCCATTTTTCCTATTGATATTCAAAGCATCCTCTTGATAGCAGGAGTACCTCACAATTTAATTAATTAATTTGGAAGTCTAGTAGTGTTCTGGTAATGAAGTTAAGTACTGGTGGTCATGTAGAGAGAAAGATAAGGGTCAGCAGTATCTGCTGTCTTCCTAGCTAAACGGTCCTGTTTCTCCAATTTAATTAAATCTCACACCCTCAATCCCAGAACCCTTTCATCACCTTTGACTCACTCCTCAAACCCTTCCCAACTGCTGCCTCCACTAGTCTTTCTGCACAGGATCTTACTAATTTTTTTTCAAGGGAAAATTGACAGAATAAGAAAGGATCTTCGCTGTCGTCTTGGTTTGCCTTCCCTGCCCCTTCCCCATTTTCTTCTACAGTTCTCCTCCTTCTCCTTGTTACAGATGCAGAAGTTTCTTGTCTGCTCTCCTCTAAATCTTCCATTTATCAATGTCCCCATCCCATCTCCTGATCTCCCTTGCGCCAACTCTCATCCCATCCCTTACTCTTCTTCTTAACGTCTCATTTTCCTCTGGCTCTTTCCCCTCACAGTACAGGCATGCTTTTGTCTTTCCCATCTTAAAAAAAACAAAACAAAACAAAAACACACCCTTGACTCGACTTGCCTTTCCAGCTAACAAATCTTCACCCTTTCATCTCTATGTTAATTCGGTGCCTAATGTGCTGTTTACTATCGCCATCTGGAGTTCCTGGCCTCCATTTCCATCCTAGCTTTTGAAGTTTCTGGCCTTCAGTTCCATCCAACCTGGCTTCTGCCCCTTGCACTCCACTTGAAACCACTCTCACCCAAGTCTCTAATGACACCTTCTCAGCCAAAACAGAGAGGTCTGTTCTCATGTTCCTTGACATGGAGCTGCCTTCAACACAGTTGACTGCATTCTTGAAATATAGTCCTCTCTTGGTTCGCCTCCTACCTCTCTAATTGCTTCTTTCAGAGGATCCTTCCCATCCCCCCTCCAGCTTTCTCTGTGTGTGTTCCATAGGATTCTATCCTTGGTCCCCTTCTCTTCTTCCTCTAACCTTGTCTTTCATAGATTCATAGATTCTAGGACTGGAAGGGACCTT